AGGATGATGCGCAGCAGCCTGATGCTTTTAGAAAGAGATGCGGCTCACGATTTTCTTTCGCCTCAATCCTTCGTCATGAGGAAGCCTTTTAGTTACTTTTCGTTTTTCGTCCCCCAGCAAAGTTTCATATTGATGCTCAAAAATGCAAGAATTTGACTCCACATCAGGATACTTCCACACATGACCAGCCTGGGGAGACTCAATTGCGTCTTTTATAAATTTTGCAGTAAGGTTGAGATCCCCCAACTGAGGTACTGCGCAGAAAGAACAAGCCTCAGTCTTACCATTTTCACCGCATTCGGAAGAGCTACTGTGGAGGCTTGATCACGCTACGCAGCGAAATGCATCGCCTGCTTTCCAAAACAACGTTCTTTAGACTCTCAATGTTTGTCATAATGCCCTGTTCTTGGTTACAGACTGTTTGGATGCTTAAAATGCCTGACATGTATTCTCTGCCCTTCAATCTTTGCGTAGTAAGACTTACTTCCCATCAGGCTTCTCAACTTAGTAATTCCTGGCAGCACTGGAGTCAGCCACAATGATTTAAGGCATTCTGCAAGAAACAAGTTCCGCTATCGTGAAACCTATTTCTGGCCCGAACGACGGCAGCAGCAGCAACATCGGCGGTCTCCACCTCAAATGTTACCATAAGTGCTGTAACATCTTAACTTTGGTAGAAGGCTGCGTTTCTGAGGTAACCAGCTGCAGTGCATAGCAGAAGTTTCGCTAGCGGACTGTCTGTGGCACTTCAAAAGGTCACGAATCTTGGAGCCATGTAACTCAACTAACTCGCTTACTGTACATTCCCGCTTTGCACTCTTGGTAAACGCGCCGAATCTGAGTGCCTACATGCTTTGCCGCCTTCCGACAGGCTGTTTGCGACGGATGATTAGGATACCGAGTGTCTTTCTTCTTGAGCCTCTTGCAAAACTCGTCTACCTGGGAGTCTATTTCTTGATAACCAAGGGGAAGTTCAATGCAATCCAACAACTCTAAAAGAGAATATGGCAAGAGGAGCACAGATCAAGCCATGATTCAGTGAGCTGTCTTTGTAGCCTAACCAAAGACAAAGGGCACACGGCGGTGCCTTGGCATTAAAAAATCTCATTCAGGCTAAAACGCTTAACATTTGGGCTCTCACTAAGTTTAAAGCACAACAGTCTGCAGAAAAAGATGCCTAAGCACCGTGATACTCACCGCCTCCAATACCTCTCATGACCAAATTAGCTAATGAAGGCTTCGCCTCCCCTGAAACTTCATGTTGTTGCCCATCTCGTGGCAATCCAGTCATGTTATCTCCATGGGCTGAGCCATTTTCCTCACTGATAGCTGAGTTTGCTGAATTCGTGTTATAGATGGCGTTAGCCCCTCCGTAGCTATCGGATGCATTTGTGGAGCTGCTGTTATCATATCCTCCAGCACCTGAGAGACCAAGATGGGGTTTTGACAAAGATGTGCTGCTACCATCTGATAGCTTATTGTTGCTCATTGTTGCCGTGAAGGTGGAACTATTGCTTGGCGCTTCTGCTGAAGCCTGTGCTTGCGAGGTATCTGGAACTCCTTCATGGCTTGGGTTTTGCGCAGTAGATTCATCATCTGAGAGCTCAGCATCGTGAACCTGACCGAGAACGGATTGTAACTGAGAGGAATACGGTTGTTCATAAGAAGCTTTTGAGACTCCTTGTTTCTGGCTTTTTGGGTTTATGGCACCGAACAGTGGCGGTGGCCTATTGCGGTCATCTGGTAGGGCTTCGTGTGGAGGCGTCGATGCATAACCACTCCTGGGCTCGTTCCATTCTCCATCTTCACTCTCAGATATTGAGGAATTCGAATGCGGGGATCCTGCACCCCTCCGCTGATTGGCTCGGCGTGCTTCCGCCAATTTCCGTGCTTGTTTTTCAGCTTCTGTAAGAACCTGCTTTTTCCGTCTAGGCAGGTTTGCTGCGAGCTACAAATCAATAGTCACAAAAAATGACAGTATCAAAGTTAAGCCTATATTGTCTTACAGACTATAATACAAACACAAAAGGAAAGGTGCCAGCTGGCGGAGCAGCCTTCTCACGCAGTTTCATGCAAGCAGCTAGACAAGCGCTTCCAAGTCACCTACTGCAAGATGCACCTGCAAAAGTCCCCACGGTGGATCAAGCCTATGGCGGGTGGCATTTGCTATCAGCCGCACTCGGCTTCGCTGGTAGTCCGCATCGCGCGCGAGACCTCTTGTGCACGCCTGTATGTTCCTGTAGCAGTCCGAAGGGGGTTGCAGTCCAGAATTTTCTGTACAGGAATAATTCGAATAGGAAGGAAGTGCAGGATGATTATTTAACCTAAAATTTCTCGATTACTTTCAACTTGGCAAAGAGTGCATTGTTGGCTCGTTCTGCTGCAGCAGAGCCACCTGAAAGCCGTCCAAAACATATATATATAGCTATACGGCAGTTCTCATGAAACCTCTACGTGGTTGGCTTACCATTGAAGTCTGTTCTCGGAGAACACGATGCTGCTGACAGCAGTGATAAGCAAATTGCTACGTATTGCACGTGCAAGTACAGCCCAATCATGCTTGCTGGTAGAAAAAGCTGCAGGGCTTTGCTCCAAATTCGAGGCCACATCCCTTTTTTGTGCAAGGGCAGAGCTTTAGGGAATTGTGTGTCTGCACTTGAACACGGTTGTAGTGGCAGGGACGGCTTCTGGCCACATAGGCCAGGTGGCCTATTCTACAGGGACGACTTGGGAAGCTGTTTCTCTTAGCTGATATGTATACAGCACAATTGGACCATATACATCTTTTCATTGGAACAGAATGAGTATTCTAATCGATTTCACCCAACAGAATGGTTTCGTTGACTGAAGTACCATGGGCTGCCTTGAAAAGCATGACGAGCAACAGCGACTACGACATGGGCATCACAATAGTTTCCAGTGGTTATTTCACCTCAGTGAAGTTGATTTGAACACCACTTGAGTGTGGGGACAATCTTTGTGCATCGCAGCGGAATCAGTCGCGGTTCACGCATTGAGTTGCAAGGCCTAAAACTCTGAAAGCGCCTAAACGGAGGTCTCCGAGATGATATCCGTATAATTTCAGAAAAATGTTGAGAGCGTAGATCTGGCCACTGGCGAAGTGTCACCAGCAGAACGAGGGGAACAGAGCACTGCCATTACGGGCATTGCCAGGCCACTGCCTTCCCTCGCCTCGTCATGCTATGTGTCGGACCCTATCACACGTGAAAGGATGCAAATTTTCTTACAATTTTACTCTTTCCCCAAAAATATATGCGCTGATGAGGCCCAAGGATGCGCTTCTGGAAGGCTTGTCTTTTCGATGGCGTAACCGGCGGTGGTCCGGTCTCGGTCCGCGCCGGTGCCCGCTCCCGCCAGTTGCCTTCACGCGGCAAAACGCTTGACAGCTTCCCACCAGTGTAATCCAATACTCTTCGTCAAATTATGTTTTCCTCATGATATATGTATCTAAGTTGAATTCAATTGAATTTAAAAAAGCCTCCGTCAAACAATGGCGAGCTGGTCCGATGGCGTGCTGCGCTGAGTGTTACAGCAAGCTTTCTCCCGTTTAAACAGGGTTATGCAGAGTGCACACTATTTTGAGTGGGCTTATATATATGTTCAATTTTGCTGATTTATCCTGAGTGGTGCCGCCTGCTCGCTTCACAGACACAAACACGTATACTCCCGGCGGATAAAACCCTTAAGCTGGTGGATGCGCCCTGCGTACGTATCCGATAAACTTATGTTTCACGTCCGCCATACACGTTTCCGATAGCTTGCAGATGTTACTCCACTTGCATCACGCACGTCTCATGCTGGTCCTACAATAGGCACTGGGGTTCCCCGTACACCTGTAGCTCTCTAAAGGTACCTGAAAGCGTAATTTGACCGGGATGGAACTGGGTCTGCAGGAACCATTGTATCCCCTAAAGCCGTAACTCCCCATTCCCTAGTTGTTCTACGTTGTTCCGCTTCACTGTGGGGCTTCTCAACTGGGCTGTACCGACATCCCCCTACCAGACACAGGAGGCTCTTCCCGCCCATTTGAAGTAGACCACCCTAATCTAAATGCAAGTCCTCACCCCATTTCATATACCCATTGTCACTACTGAACAGATACGCTAATGAACGCTGTTTCCGTTGAGCAGGCCTCTCAGAGACGCTGTAGATCTCCCGTGCACTTGCTGTTCCTATGCGACGTGGTTATCTTGGGGGAGAGCCAGAGTCTACGAAACAGAAAACGCTTAAGCTGTCACAAATCGCACAGAAAAAACAAAGTACACCCATACTCTACCCAACAGCGTCATGTGAGTCATCTGTGGCGCCCGCAAACATAACTCATCTTGCGTCTCGCGAGTCTAGCGTGATCATCATCAATCTTCTTTGTAGCAGCTGATGAGATGAAACAAATGCAAGACAGGTATCGACAAGTTACTGTTGCGAATTAAGGGGATGAACATGCGAAACGTCACAGAAGTCAGTTTGTATCGCACTCCACATTTATGCCCAACTCTGGAGGCTGCCGAGCTTCGTGCAAGAAATACAGATACAGAAACAGAACGTGATTCGGCGAAGCTAATTCTTCACATTTGATTGCTGGAGCATTGCGTTGGGAAAGACCGCTTAACCGAGACAGGCCAGCTCTTTCCAAAGGCACATTAACGAAACAAACTCCGTCATATGCTGCGCGAGCTCCGAACCACGAGTATGATAAACTGTAATATCATTTTGAAAGCGGGGTATGTGACTTCAGCATAAATATATGCCTCCCCAATGGGAGCCTTCGGTGCCTCGTGTTTCGAGTACGCCGTGTCCACCGCGAAGTCGGCGTAGTCCATGCAAAAAGATGCAGCCTTTCATTCTTCTTAAGCAGAAACGAAAAGCGCTACGATGAGTCAACCACCATTACGAACCTCAAGTCCTCGGCGCGTTCACGACGCAGTGGGACTCACTGCTGCCTCAGACGCCCTTTCAACGCCAACATTTCCAGGGTGCAACTACTGATCACGATGCGCTGTAATGGCACAGCCTGAAGCTGCAGTCGACTCTGTCGTCAGACACTTGTCATCATCTGCTAATGCTGCCTCGTCGGCTACACGAGACGCTGTGGGTGCTGAAGTCTGATGAAGTGATGTGGCGCTGCTCTTTGCGCTGATAAGCGTTCCCGATTCCGCCTCAGCTCCTTCCTCATTGTATGACACTTCAGACGACTGGTACCGCTCACCACCCTCTGGGTAGTCACCGCGCATTATCTCATACACTTCTTGACGATGTCGGCCCCACAAAAGAGCGCTACCCAGCGAGCTCGTTGCCACAGCTACCATCGCACCCCCCAAAATCAAATGCCCTGAAGCCAACGTCGCGATCCCGAGCCCTACCTTGACGCCTGCCCACACTCCGCTGACCTGACAAAAAGCAATTTAAGACCGCACCATTTTGCTGCACTCTAGTATTCTCTTGGTACTAGAGTATTCTTAGGAGTGCGCCATGCTTCTGCGACAGTGTATATGTGGGAGCTCTAACTACCGCAAATGTTGAGAGCTCATGCGTTCCGCCTGCAGGGTACGTACCTCAGGACCACCTGTGTCAACGATCTCCGCCAAGTGATAGCGGGCCTCAGAGAAATTCGATGATGCTGTCAATGCCACCGAATGCTGGACAAAGTTTATGCTTCGGTCACGCACTGCCTCTGCAAGGGCCTGCTGCCGCCTCTGAAGCTCGCTCAGCAGCCCAGAAGATGATGGTCCTGACTCCCCATGTCTCGGCTGATCTGACTGTGCCTGTTCACCTCCTGACTGAACATGCGGCTGATTGACGGAAGGATCCACTCTGCTTCTAGCTTGCTCAGGAGATGACTCCGCCAACCCTGAAATGCCACCGTCAGCACGTGCTTGCGGTGTCATACATGCACCGAAAAGAGGTAGCACAAGGGCATCAAGGGCCTTATTTGCCACGCTGGCAGCGGAGGCAGCCGTGCCTGCTACTTGCTGAGCAACCTCCACAGAGCGACGAGATGAGTCTGCCAAAGTCGAGCGCAAAGAAGCCCATACTGTCTGCTTTTGGTGCTGTGCCTCTTGCAGTTTGTCCGGTACTGTCCTTGTTGCGACCTCTGGTGGTTTCTCGTTCACATCTTCGACATGCACCTGCAGCAGTCCGTATTCACAAACAACCACAGCAACTGCAGCCTCCCCAGGATAGGTGAGTTTGCCCTACTGTTTCTCAAGTGCGCAATCTAGAGCCCCCAGTATTCGTGTCATGTATGTCTTCAGGCCACTGTGTTGGGAACCCACTTCTTGGCTTACATTATCTCGCATCCCATGAAGCGACCCCTTTGTAGCACCAACTCTGTCGTCGTGGCTTCCGCAGCTGCGAACTTCTTCGCGGTCCCCGCTGTGACTCTTTTTATTCCGCCCTGCCACAAAACCTTCGGCAACATGAAGAGAATGTTCCTCAACAGCTTCCACTACCCTAGGTGTTCCCGGAGTGTCTGAGATATCGCCAGCCCCAAGAGGGCTCTCAGTTTGGGGACGATCCTGCTCCTCTGTAGGAGCACCAGCATTCACGATGCCAATACACGCAGAAGCATTTGAGGTCATGTATTCTGCTGCTGCAGCCTCTGCGTCGCTGCCCTCTAGTTCCGTTTCTGCATCGGCTACGGCTACCGCCACAGTGCAGCTCAACGGCTTGTCGCGTCCGGCATTCGGGGCACAGAAGCACAGCGGCAACACAGGAACGCGTAAACTTCCCAGCGACCAGCCATAGCTCGCTACACCCTCCTTACCCACTGGGACAGGGACGTTACCGCTGAACCTGCTCCCGTCAGCACTGCCTGCAGGTTCAGGAGCGTCTTCAACTGCCAATGTAGCACCTCCCTCTGAATGCTCGCCGTCCCTTTTGTCTTTCTCTGCTGCAGTACATGAGCCCAGATAAGAGCCCAAACCTACGTATTCTGCAGCAGCCCGTAGAGGCTTCGCGGTGGCTTCGCTAAGCGCTGAAAAGTCCGTCGTCGCGACCCTCGACGCAGTAACTGCGGCCGCAGTAGTTGCTGTTATTCTCGCACTCTTCCAAACGCTGGAAGCCACCCGAGCACTATTCTCCAGCAGTTCTGCTGTGCGGCTTTCTCGTGGTTCTTGCAATTTGCTCATTGCCTCAACTGCGACCGTCGCAGCAGCAGCAGCCACTGCATCAAGTGCCATATCATCCCCAACACAGCTGGCAGATGCTAGTGACGGAGGACCAGACAAAGTTGGCGTCTCTGTAGGACTACTGGATGGCACACTGCTCATGGGGACCACTCTCTGCTGAGCATTTTCCCCAACTGGAGATGTGGCTAGAGTTGACCCCATTGGTGAGCATCCTGGAGGCGAGTCCGCAGTAGTTGAGGTACCACATGCTTCTCTAAGAGTGGCCGCCTCTTCTCCAGCAAGCAATGATGTAGCATTGCCTTCGGCTTTCAGATAACTGCCCCCTAGCCCATGGTGATCCGAACCCGTTACCCCATCTCTGTCCGTAGATTTAGGCGAAGAGTGACTCTGTCTATCCATTACTGACGCCATTGAAACAAAAACTTCCGCCTCAAGCCTTTTTGAGAGCAAGTTTACCGAAGGGCACCACAACCTGATTCTCCCACTGACGACCGAGGCACAACACAAAAAACGTCAGTTTGTCGAAAACTATGTCCCCGACGGAAAAGCACAGGATGGACTCCCCTGAAGTGCAGGAGGCTGCTACTGCTTCATTACCACAAGGAAAGTGCCAAGGTCACAATTTTCCAGCAAAAGCTGGGAAATGAATGCCTACTGGGTGATTACCACCATAGTTCAGCAACGGTAATGCGGACGCACCGTTTGACAAGAATTAAATCCAATAAAAGGTCAAATTACAAAGAGCCAAAAGTACGACATCAACATAAATCGGCGAAGAAGACTGAGAAGCAAGTAGAGATGAGTTGTTTGCGGTGTGCTGCCTGCTGATGTGAAGCCCTCAGACTTTTAGGTTTATGGTAAAGAGATGCTATTCGTTGCTTCCTCTAGTCCTATATTCACATAGAGGAAAAAACATAGTAGTACAAAGAGGTTCAAAACCATCTTGTGCTGTAACCGGAATCCCATGCAGCTACTGGCATTACAAAGAGCAGACCACCAATCTGTTCCACTGGTGTCGCTGCGTGCTGCGCGCACAGGAAGCGCCTATACGAGCGCCCACCCAACAAGAAATCTAACGCTGGCAAACTCGTTATTTGATATTCACAGTCAAACCGTAAAAGAGTAGACAATGTTTCTTCCGGTCTTCGCTGTTCCTGAGGAGCGTATCGTCGTGTCGACAGACTAACCACGTAGCAGCCAGCCTAGCACCCAACTGAACATTATGTCTTCACCATTTCAGTGTGTTAATTGCTATAACAGTATGTAAAAGATTTCATGGGAATTCCTTTCCGCGGCTGCTCTATAGACTAGGCAGTCCTTTTCCAACTTCATCGCCGTAAGGCTACAATAAGTAAACAATATACTGCAAACCTTACTGAGCGAAATACTAGAGTGTCATGACGTAGAGATACGCAGCAGTGCTTTGAATAAAGTGAAAGATGCACGCAATCGACCAGAAGTTATGCAGTTCAACGATATCATGGTGACTTTTATGCCCCAGACAAGCAGCCGCTCGTCCCGCCCATCTCATCATTTCTTCAAACATGTTAACGCTTCAAAACTTCAACAAGACATTCTTTCTGTATTAAGTGGGTTTTCATCGTCTGCGTACAAAAGCACTATCCAGCACAGCGTACTACCCACGTTTTGTCATTCCGCGATTTTATTTCTGCACCCCGTCTGTCCAGTTTCTTCACGTTGTGCCACTACTCAGTGACCGGATGTAGCGGCTGGGGAAACTAAAATACAGCCTGAAGGGTCTATGAGATGGCTTAAGCACAAAGTAAATGATGGCAACGGAACTGGAAGTTTCCAGTGGCAGGAAGCCTCCAAACAATTCATAGGGGACAAACAGCAGCGCCTCTCACGGATAGACAATCTGTTCTGCAGCTTCTGTCTGAATAGGAGATATTCTCCGGGACTCATGGCCGGCGAAAAGCGCACAATAGTTGAAGTTTTATTTATGGGCCGAAGAACGAAGTAAAACGTGAACACATTTCTGCAGGAATCGCTCTGCACTGCAAAAGTCTCTGCGCAATAAAATTGTAAATGAAGAATGGAACAAAGTAAGGTCAACGATGATGCACGAAAAGTATGCGATCTTTGAGAGACCTAATGAAAGGATCATGGATCTTGCTGTAGCTGAGGTGCGGTGTACGTTTGCTTTGGAGAGCTTACCGTGGACTGGATCTGGCCGTAACAGCAGCTCGAAACACCTTGAGACGACAGTCACCCTCAAACTGGCGCTCAGTGTTCGACTCAGCTGTTACGAACGATAGGCACCCCAATCTAACTGCATATTTAGCCGTTTTAAGGGATGTATAACATGTTTGCGCCCCCACAAAGGTATCATCTTGCCTCGACAAACTAGCGGGTTACGATCCGCATATACAGACCACAAATTATCTAATCAATGGTAGAATCCTCTCAATATGCGTGGATGGAAAATATGTTCTCACACTGTTCGGAAAGGCAGTTACACTGACTTTCTACAGAGCAAGGTGCCTCTTAGGGTCCAGCCGTAAGGCAGTGAAAGGGAAATGAAAAAAGTGCTGAAGTGTTTGAGACCAAACGTCCAACTGAAATTCAGTTCTGCTAAAACATCAATGACTCTTGCCAAGAAATGAGAGCTCATCTTAATGCACCTATCCGAACTGGGGTAGCAGCTTGCACAAACAAAGGGTGAGACACCGGAGCCTCTCCCGTTATTTATGTACCTATATGCTCATATGCTTTCTTATTCGTTATTGTTACTATTCACATCTCAGCGTGATGCGTGTAGACACTGGCTTGGTCTAGTACACAAAGTTTTATGCATATAATGTCGGGAACGTACCTATATGTCGGTATAGTTCTTCCTTTTTGTCTTCTAATCTTATTCGTTTTATTTAAATCTGGCACAAACTTGGGTATTTCCTCAGTGTTTCCCGTTCAACAATCGCATGCGCCGTGTTCGTTTCCATTGTTCAGTTTATTTTTTGGGAGAAGACGTGTCACTACGCGAGGGTGGCGCTAAACAGATAATGACGTCTGGAGGCGCCTAACGAACTATTGCGCTCTGGCAGGTGTACGCATGAAAGCTCCTCGTCCACCCGAGATAAGCCCTCCGACATCTACCACACTCATGCGCGACGCAGCACAGGACCATGAGACACCCAACGCCTCCGGAGAGAGTTTGCCCCATCAAGACAAACCTTCCCCCTCACCGGACCTGCACTATTTCTCAATGCCATGGCCAACTCTCACGATCAACAGCGAGAGTTCCCTTTTTCCTAACTCTATATTTCAGCTTACACGAAGTGTCCGGTTTCTTAAGGGCTACACATCGCAGCCGCCAAGCATTCTCGCAAGCCTGCCCTGTGCGGAATTCGCTGCCGGTGTCTCGCTTTCTGTTATAAGTCACCTAATCTGCGACTTTGTTTCGACGGTATGTAAAGGATTTGTGTGCCGCAGTTCCCGGAATTCCTCACACACATGTTTTGTGTTCATCATTGCCATGTCACACCAGGTCATCGAGGGCAGAAAACAACCTTCCTCACTCTCAGCTGATACTGTTACTGGCGGGGCATGTGGGACCATACAACAACACTCATAGAATCTTGTGTGCATTGCTGCGCCTTCAAATCCCTTTCACAGAAATTCGAGGGCCCTTTTCAACCCTTACTTTTTTCTTCCCGCCGCTGGAATCAAGTCAGAGTAGAGTTTCTTCCTGAACTGTCTCTTGTAGCTTTGAAACACGATTTTATTTGGATCACTGTTATGTCTCTGTTCGAAGGGGCTCACTTTTTGCAAACCGAAAAACGATCACAGCAGCTGATATCCTCGAACTGCTCGAAGACTGCATCGTCCGCAACCATGGTTTCCCTGAGATCCTCATTTACGACCGCGACCCTGTTTCACGTACCTGAGCTTGTATACCACCGCCCTGAAGACACTAATTTAGTCGCCAAAGAAGCAGCCGTTGGCTGGCTGCCGGTCTGCAGCGCCGCCGGAAACCCCGCTGATCAGTTCGAGGTCGAGTATACCTGGGACCAACGGGATACACGCGACACCACTGAGTATCTTGCAAAGTAGCAGGGCATCCCTGAAGATCGCGCCATGTGGGAAGCCGTTGAGAACCTCACGGGTTTCCTTGAGCTCCTGCGCGCATGGCGCCTCCCCATGCTCCACAGTAGCCAGTCACCTATGCCTGCGTGGATCGACGTCCCTGTTCACCTGTAAAGTAGCTTGTTCCCTTACTTTGCTAGAGCCTGTGCTCAACTACATACCTCACTGAGTTCAGCATGTTTTCTTCCCTTCGCTGGTTGTACACTCAGCATGTTCATCAAGTAATTGGGCGTGCATTACCTGTGCTGACGGCATTGTTTTCGCAGCTACGCGTGCGCTCACATAGCAGAGAAAGAGTGTGACCATGCAGCTACACACTCACATATCTTCAGGATGCAAATCAAGGCCGCCATACCAAATTATGTACACAAGAGTACGAGTACTAACATCGGATCTTGGTTCAAGAGATGTCAGACATTGAGTTAAACTATAAAGCTCATTTAATGGATGCGTATTTGCATGTGTTCAAAAAGTGAATGGGAAAGGAGACAAAATAAGGGCCAACCACTGTAAATACACTCATGACATAAACGGACGGAAATTGCTATGTGTAACAAATGGTATAAAATAAATGAACAAATAAAAAGAATCATAACTAACATGTAAAAAGTTTTGCCTTCGCTCACCTATATGGCGTGACAGTGTAGAAGTAACGTAGAAGTCAAAGGAGTCATACAAAGGTATTAGCCAGCGTAAGTCGGCTGAGGAGGAGCCCTTAACTTCACAGGAAGATCACTGAGTGCCGGTGGAAGAGAATATCGGAGGTGGCGGAACAAGGCATGCGCCACCTAATTGAGTGCGCCTTGTAAGTTGGTGATGGCGAGATGCTAAAACTCAGTGAGACAGTCTAGCCAACGAGCATGCATGCAGCGGCTTCGACATGTTTAGCTGCTGCGGGTGAGTAGTGGGCTAACGATCGATCGCTGTGCGCTTTCATATATCCGGTACGTAGTAAGTATGGCAATTTTTCAAGGGCGGTGACCAAAGCGAGATGTTCTTTGCTGTGGTATTGAATGCTTTTGCCCAGCGAATATCATGACCTCGTTAAGGAAGTTAATTGCCCAGTGCTTCTGTTAAACGACTGCTTCTATCTCAAAACCGGAAGCCTCAGGAGACATTTCTAGAGGCTTCATAGTGTGAGGGACCTGTAGTGTGGTGCAATCAATCAGATGTCGCTTGGGACGCTGCACAGCTTGGCTTTGTTGCTGTCTCCACAGGAAGGATGTACCCTTTTGGGTGAGGTCGACAGGGAGTCGAACTACGCCGGCGTAGTCGACGCACCGCCTAAACACACGACAGTAATC